CATAATTCATTATCTTATCCAAGCAATCATGGCACCTCATTTTTCCCATCAGTTTCCATCATGGCGGCTGACAATAATATCTGCATACTGTTCTTCCCTAAACAATTTGCAGCCATTTGAGACTGATTTAGTCAATAAGACATTACTTAACGAATTCTAAAAAAACACTTTATGTTTCCTAATCTAATATGCATTTCATGGAGTTATGGAAACCTTCTTAGAAGGATTAATAAAAGGCTTTGGGCATGGCAGAGGTGTTGGTACTGGCAGCATTGGGACAGCATCAGAAAAAGCTTCCAAGACTCTTATAACATAAGAAATATCACATTTAAACTATTAGTGTGAACTTCTAAAATATACTTTCTGTTACTCAAAACTAAACCTAGTACTGATACTAGGCACTTAACATATATTTAAGTTGACTTATTCCTCAAAACAGAGATGAATAAACACCATTTCATAGTTGAGGAAAGAGAAAATAATATTTTATTTAATAATATTATCAAAATGAACTCCAGGGAATGGAAACAAGAGGATTTTGCTTGTTTTTTTTTCTTGTTTGTTTCTCTATCTTTGGAAGGCTAATGGGAGCACAGAAATGGAGGAACAAGGGATGAGAAAATGCAGCGGTACTCACTAGATACTATGTTAAAATGAACTAAATGAACTATGTGACTTGTGGGTGAGGATGGGAGGGAAAAACTGGGAGAGAGTGAGGGAAGGGGTGACATTGGTCAAAAAGAACTGTACTCATTATCTGACTTATGAAATGGTAATCACTCTGTATATCACCTTTATGAAAGAACAGTGCCTTGTTGGAAGTTGGATGCTCGTACCATGCCTGTAATCCTAGCTAGTCAGGAGGCTGAGATCTGATGACCATGGTTCAAAGCTAGCCTGGACAGTTAAGTCCATGAGACTCTTATCCCCAGATAGCCACCAACAAAAGCCAGAAATGGAGCTATGGCTTAAATGATAGAGTAATAGCCTTGACCAAAAAGCCAGGCTCTGAGTTCAAGCCACAGGACTGGCACTCATATACATAAAAAATATCTCATTGGAATTTACACAACTAAATGCAAATCCAGGCATGTTTTCAACTGCATGTTGCTTGTCTCTACTGCTATCTGTGTACTCTAATTCTGCTTATGGGTACTGTATATTCTTTGCTCTAAAGCATGTACCACATTCTCTTTAACCCTGAGAGTTGTCCACTGAGGTCTGCTATTTGGTAAGGAAGGGACATGTACAGATCTCATGCAGAAACAAGACCCAGGCTCAGTCTGGGATGATGGCACCTTGGCTTTCCACACCCCAGATGGAAGGAAACAAGGAGCCAAGATAATAGCTTCTTTCCCTAAAGTCATACATTGAAAATGACCTATTTAAGCCCTTCTCACATCCCAACAGATGAACTTATTGGCGCATTAGATTTCAAGTCTGAGAAACACAACTCATGACAATCATTTAAAGTAAAATGTGAAAATATTACACTCAGCTCACTTGCTCCCCATTATTTAACCTTAGATGTAGTGGCCAATGTGGATTGGACACATAAATATCTGTCTGATATTATCCCACAATGGATAAATACTAGGTTAACACTCTAAGCATTGTAGTTTTGTATGACAAAGAAGGAATATTTAGTTTAGGAGTTGATGGAAGCTACAGAGGAGAGGCATTTTAGTTAGCATTTCTATGAAGAATATGGCTGAGAAAGGATGGGCAGGCATGGGTTATGATACAAAAGGGAGATAACTTACTCTGCCATTTTTCTTCTTCATATCAACATCCGGTTTTAGGTCATACATCCCAGATGAAGGCATAAAGAGTGTCCAAATAATCAGATCGTAGCCTGTCTCATCTATACTCACATAGACACACCAGAATTTATCCACGGTCACAGGAAGAAAATGTAACAACTGCTAAAATACCCACCTTACCCACTTTGAGACCCTGATAACCAAATGTACTAACTAAAATCTAATCATCAAGAACTATACATCCCTGAAGGGAAATCAAGTTAGCAATACATTTCCACAAAGTCCTCTGAATTTTTTCCTACCAGTACTATCAATAAAATTTGTTTTGACCAAAGTAGAAATAGAAGAACATAAAATACTAGTCAAATATTGCTAGAGGAAAGTGATCCCTATAGGAAACCTTGAGATCAATGATTCAGTTCTTGAGCAGATACTGGTATGAGGATAATGGAGTGTGAGGGATATTTGCAATATAGAACACTGTAGGCTTAACATTGTAAAAGTTCATAGGATCATTGGGGAGTAATATACAGCCTTGAAGACAAGCAAATACTAATACCCCATTACTACTTTCCAAATTCGTCCATTCATCCAACATAGCAACCATTCTTGAACTTCTTCTGTGTGTGACACACCCATCTAGGTCCAGCTAGTAACTGAGCATACTGAGACTATCAAGGAATACAAGTCCCCCTAACCCCAAGGAGCTTGCTGTGCTTCAATTGGAACATAAAATGCTAAACTGTTTGGCAAGGAGCTGCTGCACTTCATCAATATGGAGAAGCCCTGGAAACCCCAGGCTGTATTAGCAATGCCTCTATATTGTGCTGCCTTTTATGGAGCTCTTTTCTTTAGCAATACTATCCTGACTACATGTCCACCCATGACTTTTGGGTGTACAATAAGACTGGCTAATGTTTATTTGTTTAATCAAAATAAAAAATACTATTTTGAGGTTCTGGTGGCTCAGGCTTATAAATCCTAGCTTCTCAGGGGGGCTGGGATCCGAGGATCCCAATGTGAAGTCAGCTGGGGCAGAAAAGTTGGTAAGACTCCTATCTCCAATAAATTACAAAATAAAAACAAAACCCTGGAAATGGTATTCTGGCTCAAGTGGTAGAACACTAGCTTTGAGAAAAACAAGCTCAACAGAAAATATGCTCAACAGCAACAGCAACAACAAAAAACCCCAAAGCAACCCAAAACAAAAACAAATACTTAAGAAGTTTTTACTATGTGGTAGGTATTTTATCAGAGAAGTATAGATAATGTGAAATTGTCAAAGGTAATATTGCTGGTAATTGCTACTGCCAGTATTAAAACTCATTGCTGTCCTACAGGACATTCTGCAAGAATGACTAAAATGTTTACTATATGTCCAAACTTCATTTCATATAGTCCCAACAAGTAGCTATGATCCAAATTTATCAGATAAAAAATAAGGTGCAGAAAGAGGAAAGGATAGTGCCAATGTTTAGATTACGTATAACCTTGTTCTGAAATCTCAGAAGAGTTTCCTTTGTGGGTTTGGGGGATTTGAAGAAGGTACAAAGAAAAGGAGTATAAAAGAAGATTCCGCAAAATAAAATTTCTCAGCCAAAATGAAAAGCTGATCTTGCAAAAGGTTCAGAAAAACAGTGTGTTGAATTAATAGATTAGTCAGGAAGGCAGATGGAATACATGCCAGTAGTTTAGATATATGGAAGGCCTTTGTTAGCAAACCATCACATTTCTGAAATTTATTGCAGAAGGCAAAAAATACAAAGTCATGATTTGTTGCGTATCTTCACAGATGAAAATATGAGATATAAGAAAGAAGAGTAAGAAGTAAAAGGACCAGGTTAGTAATATAGATAAACTTTTTCATATATATTATGAATTACTTTTGCATCCCAGCAGATTGCCCTCACCAAATTCATGCTTTGAAGTAGGGTAGATGGAAAGTTAAGACTCTCATGCAGGTTAAATGACAATATAAAAGAATAGGTAAAGCAATATTATTTATATATTTATCTCCCATTTAAATAGTTGTGTGATATTTACCTTTATTTTGAGGAATATTTACCTTCCATTTATTTATGTAACTTCTAGAAATACTGTTCAATCAGCAGAATTTTCAGGGCTGCTATTGGGGCTGGTTCTTTTGATATGTACTTCGTACACAGAGGATACCTTTATTTTCAATCCATGGATCTATAGAATAGTATCGTTTTATTTCCAAATAGACCACAATCTATACAGCCTTTCTAAAAAGTCAGGATTTGTCCTCAAGCTGCAGATAATATGATCTCAATATCTTTTCAAGTGTGGGGTCATTTATATGTTACTATATTTTTTGCCAGTACTGGGGCTTAAACTCGTGGCCTGGGCACTGTCCCTAGGCTTCTTTTGCTTAAGGCTAGCACTCTACCCCTTGAGCCACAGTGCCACTTCTGGCTTTTTCTGTGTATGTGGTACTGCTTGCTAGTCAAGCACTTTACCACTAAGCTACTTTCCCAGACCAATGTGGGGTCATTTATAACATAAGAAATACCCTCAATTGGGGTAAATCATTCACTGGTTGTTGGACGTAGATTACTTTCAGATAGAAATTATCTAATAGCTGCTGTTTCATGATTTTGATTTTGATTGGGACAGGACTATAGTCAACAAAGAACTGGGAAACTGTGAAGTTGTTCAGGACAACTGTATATGAAGCCACTTTGGTTTTTTTCAGCTCTGTAGGTATTTCAGAGAGTTCCATTAAGAACTAAAATATAAACAATGCTTTGTCATATTTCTGTGAGATGGACAGTCAACACTTTGTCTTGGCCTCAGTAAAAAGAAAAATTCAAGTGTCAGACACATGTAGCCCTTGGAATCATAGTCTTAATAGCTGTCTTCTTTATTCTGTTTTTGTGAACTAAAATTTAGTTCTTAATACTTCTCCCTTTGGGACCTGGCTATGTGTGTTACAGTTCATGGATGCCATTCTGTTCTCCTGGTTCGGTCTTCCTGACTTCAACTTCCCTTTGGATGTAATAGCTTTTATCAGTGATCTGGAGATGCATGTTTCTAGCCTTGGCCTAGATAAGCAGATCTATATCTATTAACCTGCAAAAGTTAATCACAAGAAGGCCCGTCTGCCTTCCACAGCTTCATGGGTTTAGACCTCTCCCACTTAAAAGACAGGCAGCCAATGCCAAGGCCACTGCTTCAGCTCTAGTGGCAGCACCCCACTCTGTCCCACAACTATACCTTAGGGTTTCCCCAGAGGAGCCCCTCCTCTTCCACAGGTTGACGAGGCTGCTGGACCTGCTGGCTGCAGAAGAAGATTTGCCGTCTCCCACGTGCATGCGCACCACAGTGGACGTGGTGAAGGCGCTGCGCACATTTCTCTCCGGTTTGGCAAGGATGATGTACACCTTTGGCACAAACATGCAGCCGAGCGCCACTGTGGCACTCAGGCTGACGGAGAAGCACATGGTAATGATTTTGTAGTTGCTGCCGAAGTAGATCGGCACGAAGGCCAGCCATATGATGCAGGTAGTGTACATCGTGAAGGCGATGTACTTGGCCTCGTTGAAGTTGGCTGGAACATTTCTTGTCTTGAACGCATAGAAAGTGCAGCTCAAAATCAGTAACCCATTGTATCCGAGAGGAGTGACAACACCTAGGTTGGTAGTGTTACAAATCAGGTAGACTTCCCTAATGCTTGGGTAGTCGTGCATGATATCAGGAGGCTCCATGATGAAAAGAGCCACAATAATGCCCAACTGGATACATATGAGGATGAAAGCAATCACTAACTGGGCACAGGCACTCATGAATCTAGGCTTTTTTGTACAGATCTTCTTCTTGCTGCCAGCTAGGATTCTGGCAATACGGTTGGTCTTGGTTACCAGGGCCGAGTAGCTCATGGCTGGAGAGAGACCAATGCCAATTCTCTGAAGATAGCAATAAATCTGTTTGGGCTTTGCGATGAGGCAAAAGGTACATAAATAGCCAAGGCAGATGCCAGCAAGAATAATGTAGCAGAGCTCCCTGCTGGAGGACTTGACTACTGGAGTGTCACGGTAAATGATGAAGATGACAGTAACAAACAGAGTGGCAAGCAGGCCAAGGCAGGCAAACACCACGGCTGCAATGGGCTCAGGGTCTCCCCAGCGAAGGTACTGCACCGGGATCAAATCACAACCTGCAGAGACACAGACACATATTGAAAAAGAGAAAGAAATTTGTTTATTTCATAGGTTTCTAAGTTATAAGTCATTGCTTATGATCATTTAGTTCATCTTCCATCTACTTTTTCAATTTTCAGGGCCCTTTGCTATTAAAAAATAAAATTATTCAGAGCTAAGTGCTATACTCCTAGCTACGCAGGAGGCTGAGGTTTTAGTATCACAGTTTGAAAGCCAACCCAGGCATTAAAGTCTGTGAGACTCTTGTTTTCAGTTTACTAGGAAAAAGCTAGAAGTAGAAGTGTGATTGAAATGGAAGGAGGCCAGCTTTGACAGAAGAAGTTTAAGCAACAGTACTATACTCCTGAGTTCCAGCCCAAGGACTAGCATACACACACACACACACACACACACACACACACACACACACACACACTAATTATTCAGAAAATCTTTTTGTTATTAAGTAAATATTTTGTGATAGGGAGTCTTCTAGGTTTTGAAAGAAAATGATGATAAACCTGATCCCTGATCTCATAAAAGAAATAATTGGGTCTTTTAAACAATTTCTGATATATGTGATTGCTAGTTGCTTGCAATATCCATTTTTGTCATTCTTCCTCAACAAAAGGGCTCCAGTTTCGCTTGAGGAAGCATCGAAAAAGCCACGTTTCAGGAGCATTGCAGTCAAATGTGGCATATGACTAGGTCTTCGCCAGCGAAAGATTTAAAGAGAAACTTCTCTGAAGAAGAAAGAAGGATGGCCAATAGACACATGAAGAAATGTTCAACATCCCTAGCCATAAAAGAAATG